GTGTAATCCCAGCTACTCAGAAGGCTGAGGCAGGGGGATCATAAATTCAAGATCAGCCTCAACAACTTAGCAAGAATCATTTTCAAAATTAAAAAAAAAAATAAAATAAAATAAAAAGAGCTGAGGTATATATAGCTCATTGTTATAGCATCCCTGGGTTAAATGCCCAGTCCCGAAAAAAATAAAAAAAGTAACTATTACATTTGAAAAGATGGAAAAATTTACAACCATGAAAAATAACAAAGTTAAACCACATATATCCAAACAGACTTCTCTCACAAGGTGGAGGGGCACAAATTGAAGAAAGAAATGAACAGTCTGATACCTTTATGTAAGGTTTCAAAAGATGCAAGACAATACTATATATCATTCAGGGATCTGAAATTTACATAGTGAAGCTGAGCACCCTGACATACATCTATAATCCCAGCTACCTGGGAGGCTGAGGCAGGCCGATCGCAAATTCAAGGCCAGCCTGTAGAACTCATCCAGACCCTGTCTCAAAAGTTAAAATAATAATAAAGAATGGGGGTGGGGCTCAATGATAGAGTGCCCCATGGGTTCAATCCCAAGTACCTCCCCACAATTTTTTTAAAATAAAAAAAAAATCAAAAAGACATCTCTTTAGGCCACATCCCCTAAAGTCACACCCATTTCTTGGTCTCCTCCACAGCCACAATGGAAAGAGTTATTTACTCATGTATCTACACATTCTCAGGTCCCATTTCCTTCCAAATGCCTGGCTCCTGTGCCCACTATTCTTTGAAACTGCTGTTGCCACCTTCCTGGATGACCTGGTGTTCAGCACTAAGGGGACACCTCTGTCCTTGACACAGGCAGCAATGGACCATTCTCCTTCCTTGAAATCCATACTCCATGCCCCTCCATTCTCTTCCACCTCGCGATACCTCATCTTTTCTGTCTCTTCTGCTGGCTTGATCCTGGGACCTTCTCTTCTCTATTAGCATCACCTCCCCTTAAGTGACTTCCTATAGTTCCATGACTTTGGGGGGGTGTTAAGGATCAAACCCAGGACCTTGCACATGCTAAGGATGACCTCTATCCATTCCTTATGATTTTACATGCTCTCAGCTATGCACTTCTATTTCTGATCCAAATATCCAATTGTCTACTTGACCCAGTAATCGCACTACTACCATGTCCACATGGATGCCAGGTAAGTACGATGAACCTATAACTGATCATTTCAACAGGGACACCTCTAAAAGCAAAAGGGGGTGCTAACTAATTATGTTAGAACCACAGGCATAACCCAAACTTTCCAAGCCAACTGGAATGTACAACCAATCACCCTGTGTTCCTGTGGTATTTCCACTATAAGTTGTTCAAAATGGAACTCTCCAACCCACCCTATAATTGTCCCTCACTCTGTGTCCCATGACAGTAAAAGGGACTGTTACTAATCCATTTTCTCAAAACAAAAAAACCAAGTGTGGGGGATGTAGCCCAGTGAGAACATGTGTCAGGCTCTGGTTCCATCCCCAGGACCACAGAATAAACAACAAATAAAAGGCCTAAGAATTTACTGGGTGTAGTGGAGCACGCCTGTAATCCCAGTGGTTTGGGAGGTTGAGGCAGTAGGATCGTGAGTTCAAAGCCAGCCTCAGCAACGGGGAGGCACTAAGCAACTCAGTGAGACCCTGTCTCTAATAAAATACAAAATAGGGCTGGGGATGTGACTTAGTGGGTCCAGTGCCCCTGAGTTCAATCCCTGGTACCCAATAACAACAAAAAAGACCTAGGAATTTACCGATGAGCCCCATATCCTTGAGTCTTCCTTCTCATTCTCTCATCTCCCACACCATCTATCCACAAGTCATCCTCTTCTTCTCCTTTTCCTTTTTCTTTTATTCAATACTAGAGATTGAACGCAGGGGCACTTTCCCAGTGAGCTACATCCCCAGGCCTTTTTTTATTTTTTTGAGTCAGGGTTGCCTGGGCTGGTCTCAAACTTGTGATCCTCCTGCCTCAGCCTCCCAAGTAGCTGGGATTACAGCATGTGCCACCATGCCTGGCTCTACCCACAAATTCTATAACGTCCATCTGAAAAATACATTTCGATTCTGACTGCTTCCCCCATTTCCACAGCCAGCACCTGGGCCAAGGTACCTTCATCTCCTGCCTGTCTACCTGTCTTCCTGTGCCTATCATTCCAGTCTGTTCCCCACATGGGAGCCAAAGGAGTCTTGCAGAACTCAACTCAGATCACGACATCCCGCAATTAAAAGGCTTCCACAGTGACAGAGTATTGCCATCCTCGAAAACACAGATGGATCTCACAACCATGAGCTTGCACTAAAGAAGCCAGACAGACACGAGAGAGCACAGACTGTGAGATTCCTTTATCTAAAGCCTGAAAGCAAGTAAAAACTCATCGCTGTCACCAGAGGACAGGAATGTGAAGTCTGTTTCTTGTTTGGGGTGCTGGTTGCACAGGGATATTTGATTCATGAAAATATTAATTAGGGGCTGGGAATGTCCTCAGTGGTAGAGCACTTGCCTAGCATGTGCAAGGCCCTGGGTTTTATTCCCCAGTAGTGCAGGAGAAAAAAATGTATATTAAGCTTATATATAGCTACAATTGTATACTTTTCATATTATATTTCAACTAAAAAATTTAAAGCGAAACACTCTTGCATAGCTTCCCTTTGTACTTGAGATAAAATGCAAATCCCTGGCTCTGGCCTGCAAGGACCCACATGATCTGACTCCATCCAGCTCTAGTTTCATCTTTTTATTTTTTCTCTGGCCTCTCA